GCATCAGTAATGGCAGAGAATTGAAAAATGTACCTGTAGTGAGTGATCATTACATTCATGCTCTTAGGTATTTCTTGCTGAGTTTTTATTGCATTACTAGTACTTTTCAGGTACAAAAAGGCAGGTAATTTTTACTGTACAGATTAAACATCATCTTTATAAACTGTTGCTTGAGACCAGAAGCTCATTAGCAAAAATGGTGTTAGTTCATGCAGAATTAATAGAGAGGTTGGTATTTTGTTATTAGTGCTTACCTCAGGAAATCTTGTCCTTGTGCTGTGAGAGGCTCAGACAAAGTATTCATTTATAACTTAGCCACTGTAGATGGAGACTTCCCGCAGATACCTCTGCTAATGCATGAGGCCAGCTCCAAGATCAAGAATTTGATCTGGAAGTTGAAGCAAGTAGTCCTGTCTGTCAAGAATTGAAAGTGCATCCTTAACAGATGCTTCAAGGATTTGTTTTTTCAACTCCTCTCCTGAATACAGAAGCATAAGCCTAATGCAGTGGATCAAAAATGCCACCTTAAAAAACCTTTCAAAGTTCATTTGTGTGTACCCTGCACTTCAAAAGAACAAATCGTTGTGATTATCAGTCCTGATGTGTGAATGTGTTTGCGTATCAGTGTATATCGAGCTATATACGAGTGTCCATGTTTGTCAGCAACTAAGGTACCAGTACAGCCTTCTGTTAGAAGAAGAGAGAACATGACTTATGATCTGTGTGGGAATTATTATCTGTAATAGTCTGATAAAAAGGAATGCTTAACTCCTAGAAGAATCAGATCCTTCCCTTGAACTATGGGGAACTTTTAGGAACTCAAGAAATATCTTTATACAATTCTATTATTTCTACTATTTCTAGTATCCATCTCCCTTGTAAGCTGTAGTGAGCCATGGATTTTATCTAGAAAATATCTCTTTGGCTTTAATTATAATTTTAGGCATCTGGGAGACTAAGTCAGACAAAAGGCTTTTCTTTTTCATCGGGCAGAGTTTGTTGCCTTAGGCTTTTCTGTCTCCAACATGTTTCCTGTGAAGTTCAGCATGGCTTAGATCAAAAGGCGACCACAGCCCGTGATTATAGCGATGGGAAGGCTCCGGCTTAGTGCGGAGATGGGCCTTCTGGAAATCTAGTTCAGATAATAACTCATCTGAATCTTCAGCTTGCAGATTTGGCGGGGGCGGGGGGGGAAGGCTTTTAAGCCTCAAATGTTCACAATTCCTGGTTGGTGGTGGTTTTTTGTTTAAAGACAACCTAGTCCAATTTGGATGGACGCTGTCTTTTCACGCTGTAACCAGCACAGAATACAACAGCCTTCCCACCCATTAAATGTACAGCTGCTCCAAGCAAGAGCCCTACTCAGAGAGGTGAGTGCTGCACCTAGGGGAAGGCTCTTGTTGTCTCTGGTCCTTAATTGTTTGCTGTGATTTGGTGTGAACGCCAAATAAACAGACTCTGATTTTTCAGCGGGATAGCATGGAAGTCCTTACCCCAGGAGAAAAGAAGGAAAAATATCAGGAGTTTGCTGAATGCAGGTGTGATTTGGGCACCCAGGCTGGATGCCCCTCAGCAGCTGCGCAGCACAGTACCAGAAATGTGGTATTTTATTTCTGATTCACAGCTGCAAAGAAGGTTACACAGGGTGGGAGGTGAAGGTGAGATGCACAAATGAGGTTTAGATAGTTTTGCAGAAAAAAAAAAAAGGCAGCACAAAAAATCTCTTGAGCTACACGACCCACGTGCCCTAACATACACCATCATTCCTAAAAGTCTTTCCCCGTTTTCAATGAAGTAAAAGAAAATTGTACTTTTTTTCATGAGATTTCTCCTAAAACAGCTCCACACTTTAGGGTTAAGTTTGTTAAAAAAAGAAAATAGTGGGGAGGGAGCAATCCCAAAAAGCTTGGCAGGCTAACGATGTTTCAGAGCACTGCTAGATTCCGATTTCATGCAGCAAAAGTAAAGGGAACTCCCTCAAGAAAATTGGACTGCATATTAAAAAAAAAAAAAAACAAAACTCCTACAACCTTTTGCCTCAGCTAACGTTATTCTGACACTAAAGTGTCTACCTAGGGACAGCTGTTTCCTCTTCATGACTAAATACATGAATATATTCCATAGACCAAAATACAGGATTCTTTAATTTATCTTGCCTGATTTCTGGGTGGTTTTTTTTTTCCCCTTTTCTTTATTTGATTAGCTGAAGGTGGAGGGGTGCCTTTCCTAGCAATATTTACATCTCTGAGCATCTTTTCCCACTAAGAAATAGCGAAAGCTCTTGGGAATCCCTTCTTCATGGAAGAGACAGCAGAAATGCTTACAGCTTTAATAAGTCTACCTTGAGCTCTTTTCTTAAAAGAATTTTCATAATTACAGCAAAAAAAAAAAGAGTCAAATAACTGGTCAGCTCAGCTGTTACACATTTGTTGTGCTGCAAAATATTCTAGTTTTCCTCTGGTGAAGTGGGTTGGGTGGGGGGATTGCATTGCAGTTTATTAATATGGCACTGGTGTGGAATATAAAATTCAGCTTGCTGTGCAGCTTTGGGACCAGGGACCTGGTGACAAAGGACACCAAAAAGGCCGAGGCACTCAAGGCCACCGTCTTCCTGGTCTTACTGGTAAGTCCGGCCTTCAGGAACCACAGGGCCCTGCGAGCAGGGGGACGTCTGGAGCAAGAAGACGTGCCTTGGTGGAGGAGGAGGACTGGGTTGGGGAATAAAAGTCCACCTTGAATACAATGAGCCCCAAACATTTTACCTAGGACTGCCGAATTCAGGTGGGTTTGTTTTCTGATGGATTAACCAAATGCTGGAGTTAAGAAGTGATCTGATTTCATTACCTCTCATTCAACTTCCTAGAACAAGTTCCCTTGAAGGGAAGAATGAGGCTTCTTTTTTTCCAGAACATTGAATATTTTCTGCATTATTACATGGTGAATTTGTAGACTACTCAAAGGATCCCTGAGTCTTTCAAAACACCTGGTACCACACACACCAAAAAAAAAAAAAAAAAAAAATTACACTGCTTTTAAGTTCTTTAAAGTTTAAAATGTGATATTGCTCAGGCTGTGAACTACATGCGGATTTAATTTCACAATGAAATCCTAATAAAAATTCTCCTTGGGACTAACCTTTAAATACAACTAGGTGTGAAATTTTCCTTATTCAGTCCAGAGTCAGAACTGCTGGCCGTAATGAGGCCAACAGCATAACCACTGAAGTGAATGTATATACATCTATACGTGCTGGATGTGCATGTATATGCAATGCACACACCATACGCTAACACGCTGACAGGCCTTTTCCCACCAGCAGTTGGTTTATACCCAGAATCGTGATTATTCTTACTTCTAACCATGATCATTCCGTTAATGCCATGTGCAGTAATTGCAACATTATCTCCTTGCCAAATAAATACTTTGCAGGATCCTCCTAATCTTTTAATACCAGCTGTGCCTTCTGGAGATGACTTGCCCATTTTCATGATACAAAGTTTTTCTAAAGCCTTTCAGATGTAAATAACTGCTCTCTCTCAAGACCAGTAAATGCAAAAAACCCCAAACCATTCTTTTAAAATATTCTTTAAAAAAAACCCAACACACAACAAACAACCAGAGTACTCACTTTATTGCCACGGTATGCTATTTGTATATTACTTTTTCATGCACTGTTTGTACCCGCTAAGGTTCCTCCAGTCTTTTTCATTTTCATATGGAAATTTTACCTGCATCTATAATACGTTCTATCACCCGTTCAACCTCCTTTTCCCACGTTATTTTTTCATTACCTTGCCTGCCTCTGCACTTCGTGGGTGCTTTTCCAGACCCTTATTAGACTTATCAGCATAGGCCCCACCTTTTGTGTTGGCTCACTTGCTGGTCTCTGCTTGGTCCCTCTCTGACCCAGCTCCTCCCCAGTGAGGCTGTGATTTCTGTGACCTGGCACAACCTGTAACTGCCTCCATGAGAGGCCAATCCGCCCTTGATCACAGGCATAAGTTTTAGCAGAAAGTATTCAGTGAAAAAAAATCTCATTTGGAAGTCCCCATCTGAATGGAAAGTATCATTCTGAACACATTTAATAGATTTATTAAATTTAAAAGACAACAGAAGTTGATAGATTCTATAGAAACCCGATCATTACTGAGACAAGGTATTGCCTTCTCCATCAGCTTTCTGCAAACTTTTTTCTGCTTATTCAGTAAGTGAAAAATAGAAAACCTTCCCCTCAGGTAGTTGAGTGTCCCATACCCAGCTCTCACTAGGCTGAGAGACAAATCTCTTCGATCCTTCAGATCACAAAACCCCTCAGCAGTTAATATTAATGACCTTTTAAAAGCTTTTAAGGCACATTGTTACAAATACATAACTAAAACATTTGCTTTGATTCTTTAATAGTTTATGAAAATGTTGCGGTTGAATACATTTCCTGCAGTTTGCTTTTCGCTGTGGGCCAATTTCTGCCCCCATGAGAAGCCACAGCATGGTGGCCAGGGTGGCCACCTCTCTGCAACCTCCAGTCCCCAGGGGATGGACAAACACCCCTCTGGTAAAGCCTTTCACCCAGCCTGGCCCCAAATTTTCTCTCATGGAGGAATCACCAACTGGTGCTCAAACTCACGAGCACTTCTGTACCCAGGGCACGGCTGTGGCCAGCACAAGATCCTTTGGAAGATGCTTGAGCAAGCCCAGCCCATGCAGTTGGTGGTGGTGGTCTCGTACGAAATGCCCCATCTTTGTGTCTTGCGGTGTTCCTGATGGCAGGAGTGAATTGCCACAAGGAGTCCAGAGGAGAGTTGCGTGTTGGTTGGAAGAGTCCCGGCAGAAGTACGTCCTTCCAGAGCTGCATCAGTTTATGCACAGACAACTCTGCAGCAACACTGTCATGCAGAAATTGGAAGTAAATGCTCCAGAGTTTGCATTAATTATTCAGCAGCTTCTGTGCAATGAAAGACAAAGGCAAAACTGGCATAAAAGTAGAGAAGACCTCAGACGTGTTCCCTGCTTGGACCAGGAAGGGCAAAGGCTGTGGTCCTCCTCAAGCATCAGTAGCCTGTGCATCACGTCCGGGAGATCCAGCCAGCGCTCTTTGGAGCTTTGCAAGTGTGAATATCTACCACTTCTAGGCAGTCCTGGCAGCGCACAGCACAACACCAGTGGAATTTGCACTCGCATTTTGTCATTCTGCTGACACGGGAGGTGTCATAGCCTCTCCCACAGCACATCACTTCACAGCTGTCCATGCCGCGGGAGGTTTGGTTACAAACCCGACCGGCTGTCCCGAGGGACCCTACAAAGGAAATGCAGGAAAGGTCAAGAGCTGGATTTTAAGAAAGGACAGAAAGCATATGAAAATAGGTATAGAGCCATAATTAGCAATGTATTTGACGCTTCAACATCACGTCACCTGGGATTCAATATCAAGCCAGAGAAATGCCTATGATAAGGTAAAATTGTTCTCCAGTTCTCAAATTTATGCAGAAAATCAGCTTTGGAGATGAGAAGTAAAACAGACCAAATACTTCAAGGCTCTGCCTGATTCCATTAGTATTATTGTGCTTTGCTTCACCTTTCCGTAGCACTTCTTTCCTCTCCAGCGAGCAGATAGCCCCCCAAGGCAGCCGTGCAGCCCCCTCTGCCCCCTGCGTCCAGTCTCCCAAGGCTGTGTGAAACGGGGTGCCCGCGAGGAGCACCCCCCCGGTGCTCGTGAGCTGGTGGGCTCCACAGCGGAGGTCTGGGAAAGAGGAGACCACCACATCTGGTGCCTGCAAGGGACACGATGGGCAGAGTAACGGTGCTGCTGGTGATTAAAGTCTTTGCAGAAGCGAGCACAGAAGCACCCGAACCACTTGGCATCGCCGCTGCGTCCACCCATGGCCCCCGTGTCCACTGGTGCTGGTGGCAGCTGAAGAGTGGATCTTCAAGGCATCTCTTAGCCTGAGCAGCTACTGTACCACATGGGAGCTGCTGCTCATCTAATACAAACTTATCTTAGGGTTCCCTTTTGTATCTATACCACAGCTGTTCACAGATTATTACAATCCGTCTGAAAACTTCATGAATGCTCATTGTTTCACCTAATTTCTCATGTCTTGCTACTATAAATCGATTTCAGGTACATCCATGAAATGAACACTGTTCTGACATTTTCCCTAGACCCAATTATAGCTCCATTCTTCTGTTCTTGGCCAAAACAGGATTCCCTAAATATTGACTGCCGTCACTAAAGTAACTGGAAACATTTTACAAAGTGTATTCACAGCTGTACGGCAAACGTGAACCATTTACCTTCTTAAAGAAAAAAATACATGCAGACATTAATTCAAATTTGCATGAGCTAGGACAGCAAACCAATATTAATTAATAAACATCAAGATGTATTAGCCTGTAATTATTAAAAAATCTAAGCTTCACTGAAGCACCACTTGTTCCTCTCTCCCCCACTGTCCCCAGCACCAAGGAGACGTCGTGTCTTTTCAGGCCCGGGCCCAAGCACTGAGGCAGCGAGCGGTCTCAGGCATTGAGTAACGTCACCTTCTCAGACCGTGGTTTTTCGTGGGACTGATTTAGCCATGGTGGGGGATGTTTTGCTCTTTTTGCATCTAAGTCAGGTCAGGCTTCACCTGCTGCCGCAGAGGAGTGTTTCAGTCCCCAGAAGGCATCTCAGCCTTCTCTCTGTATTCCTGTATTTATGTAAACATTCACTGGGTAGAAGGATACGCCTGGAAAGCTTTGATATCAAATCGCTGGCCCAGGTCTGCTGCAGGCAGAGCAGCAGGGTGTTGTGTGGCCAATGGCAGAGATGGCAGCCCTGGACTGGGGTCCTGAGCCACAAAGGTGCTGTGGCACCGGCCAGGTGGAGACCTGCCGAGCCACCCGAGAGGGAAAAGGCAGAGGGAGGAGAAGACACGCTGACCACAGCCAGAGACAGGCTCCTGCACCTGCAGCCTGACAAATCCTAGATCTCCTTGGGGTCCAAGCCTGCTCATGCTGCTGCCCATGGACCAGCACTCTGCCTTGGGGAGGCAGCTGAACAGCACTTTAAAGTCTCTGCTACTTGGGGGAGCACATCACATTGATGTAAAAACCAGTGTTGTGTTGTGTCAGGCACATGCCCTGCACCAGGGAACCGGCAGTAACTCTGTGTCTCTGTCCCTGCGGCCGGTGATGACATCCGGATCCCATGCAGGGGATCCCAGGGAGGAGAGGAACCACCAGCAACAACCCACACGGGCACACACCCCCCCGGCCAGCCCTCTGCCACGCAGCCGTCTCTGCCAGGCCAGCTGCACCACGGCAACCTGCACGACAGGCAAAGCAGTAAGGCCAAAAGCCTTTAGCAGGAATCCTTTCTTCAGGAGTCACTCCACACTGGGGGAAGAGAGATTTCCTGTGGCCTCCCATGCCCCTGATGTAGGCAGGGCCGAGGAGTCAGGAGGATGCAGAGTTACGTGATCCGCCTGTGATCCCGTAGGAAACCTGTGGCAGAAAACAAACCAAACCCTGCTTCCCGGCTACCACGTTCTCCTCCATCCGCGATGCTGCGCAAACAGCCGGCACATCCGAACGTAAGTGCTGGTGCTTGTGTCAGCCCACAGCAATATTCACCACATCCCAGCCTCTGCCAAATACAACTGAATAACCACCTCAGGAGGGGCTTGTCCTGCCCTCTCTGCTCAGACAAAAAGAAGTACAAAGGCCAAGCTTGCAACTCGTGTGATTAATATTCTGCGTTAGGAATTTGGTTGGAATTCCCGCTTACCTCCCTGCATGGGCTCCCCCTCACTCCTGTCTGATCCCCCCTTGCTCCGCGTGCTGCTTTACTCTGGGCCAGCCCCAAAGTCCTGGAGCGCTGGGGCTGCGTAACGCAGCACGCCTAGGACAGTAATCTCCAACAACCGTGATTTGGGTTAGACTTCAAACCACTCGGTGCTTTGCTCTCTGCGTCTGGTTTGTGTGAAACAAGCTGGATGCTCGATGGCCTTCGCTGTGCCACCGTCACACGGCGGCCGGACCAGCGTCACTCCTCCATCGGAGGAAAAGCAAAGCCGCTCTCCACCTCAGCGTGCCTCCCGACCAGGAGCAGAGCGGGGCCGTGCCGCCTGCCTGCTGGGGTGAGGGAAGACCCTCCCGTGTCCCCCCGTGTGCGGCCAGGCGCGGGGCATCACGCTCGGCTGCGATGAGGTGCAGGACCTGCCCTGGGAAGGTCTGACCGCATTCCTCGGCCGAGGCATGGGTTAGTTCCCAACTCCAAAGTTCTCCTTTCCAGATGTTTGGGAAAACCGCACAGCAGCAAAGGAGAACCCGAGCGGGATACATCTGCTGGTTTCAACAGGAGTTTTGCCGCTGACTTCAAAACCAAAATTATTTCAGCCGCTAACAGACAGTCAGAAGCTGGTACCATCTGATACTGCCCATCCTACAACATTTGGAGAGGTGACTAAAATATCCACAGGATGTGACAAAGGAGAAAACAAGCTCAAACAAGGCTTAGTTTCTGAGCAAAACCAACGTTCAAACAGCATCTTCAGCATCTCTGCAGCTTCTCTCGTGAGAAGGAAAATGAGCAACGACTGACAGCGAGCGGCCAGGCAAGTTACTGCGCTCCTTGGCGGGCACTCAGATACCCAGGTGATGCAGACAGCAGAAGACACTGAACAAAACACAGCCGAGTTTGCTGAGCTTTGCCTGTAAAGCACCTCCTCAGCACTTAAGAGGCAGGAGTGTGTTCTAACTTGTAAAAAGCTTTCGTGCAGCCTCTTTGTTTTTAGTTCAAGTTTCGGAATTGCCATGCCGACACACAACATTATACCTGCCAAGACATCCACAGCTTTGAACGCTGCCAACTTTACAGCCTGTACATCAAATCTTTTCTTCTTGGTTTGCACAGTTGTTTTCTTAAGCAAACATATGGTAAGTTGAAAAATATTTTTCCCTATTCCTAAAGCACTAAAATGAATTTATTCCTTTATAATGTGAGAATTCCCCTTCTATTTCTATTGATTAAAAATGTGGCCTTGAGTAATAAAGTTAAATTATTGAACTTTCACCTAAAAAAAAAAAAAAAAGGCAGTCAGATTCCCAACAACAATAAACTAGTTTCCACACAAGCATTTGGGGGGCAGAAGAAGGAAATATTCACAGAAAAGTAGCTGTGAAGCTACTTTTTCAATCAAGAAAGATTCACGTGGAACCTACATACAACACCCCAGCACATCAGGGCTGGCGAGGACAGGCAGCGCGCCGGAGGCAGCCTTGTCTGGAGGGGCTGCGATTTGGGATTTCCCAGGCCAGCAACAAAGAGACGGCAACGTGCTGATAAAAGCAGCTTATCCGCATTCAGTTTAGAGCAAACATGTGTCTCACTCTGATTTCCATAGCCATCGATAGCTGTCATAACCTCTCAGCTCCCGGAGGCTCTCGGGGCGATTGCGCTGCTCCCATGCCGGATGGTGCTTGGAGGAGAGCTGCCCTGATGGAAGTCATCGCAAGCTCCACTGTCAGCTTGCACGGGGCTGGGACTGCACCCAACATGTTTGCAACGCGTAAATTGGGAGATACGGGCCAAGAAGTCGCACAGGGACTGACTGTATGCGGCTAACCTCAGTGAGAAGTTTTTGACATAGATCAAGATTGGTTTCTCTCCATGGGTTACATACCTCAAGCACGTACATCTTGCCCAACACCAATACTTTGCAGGCTATACTTCAGTTTCACATTTTACTTTCACTCCAGAGTTGGCCTCATTCATCTCAAAAATGCATCAAATGCTTTACGTGGGGCAGCAAGGGAAATAACACAAGAATAATCCTGTGAAGGACCCGAAGCAGATCACCCTGGCACGTGATTTGTCACCCAATGCACAGCTCCATGGGGCTGCCTGCAACACTGCACATGCATCTCCACAGTGATTTCCACCAGGACACCAGGTGTGGAGGATCCTCAGACACAGCCGCAGCACCCCATCTGCCTGTTGGGGACACAGGAGATGGCCACCACAATCCAGGTAGGCAGGCAGAAGTGGTGACATTGGCTTTGATAGCACCCAAACCGGGACCACGTGAGTGTCAGAAGAAACCTACGGATGACTTGAAGCACACGGCGCAGGGGTTTGCAGCAGGTCCTGAAGGACTGCTGCAGCAGCCCGAGACCATCTGCACGTAGACACGACCTGCCTCTTTGCTCCACCACCACCTTCACGCAGCTGAAGCCTTGTTGCTACCAGAACAGTTGCAAATAGTCAACACGGGCTCACCAACGCCATCCTGCCATTCACCCATCACCTCCACCTCTCCGCAACCTCTCCGCTCCATATGCCCCACCTCAACGCATGTAGCTGAGCTCAGCTTGCTCTACACGCTTTGGTGGGGGTCTCCCTGCAGGAAGAGGCTTCGCTCAAACACTGCCTAAGGTTTTTGGTTGCTCTGTACCAATTAAGTTTTAATAAACCTATTGTAAAATGTTGTGGGTTTTGCAGTAAGATATTACACAGCTTTGATATAGTTTCTATGAACACACATTCAGGGTAAGACAGTACGTGCAACAGTGGGACTGCCACTTGGGTAGTCATCACTTTAGTTCCCTTCACAGCTTTATCATTTCTCACAGCTCTCTCCCTGTGTAGTCCTGGGTATGCTTGTATTGGTTTTGGGAGCTGGAAATTTATGGTGATATAAGGGAAGACCACGCAAAGTGTGGCAAAATTTATAAGTTCATGACAAGATTTTCAAAAGCCCTCTGAGATGTCCTACCTCTCTTTCTATCAAATGATGAGTACAAAATTGTAAGTAAAAATTATTTCAGCACCTATGTGAGCAGAGTTAAGTGAATCCTGAACACTTCTGAAAAGTCTTCCTTTGGGCCTTTTCTAAAAGTCATGAAATCCTAATGCTAGACAAGAGGTGGTAGCGTTATTACCTTCTCTTGCTATTGAGTTGCTATTAGTGATTTCCATATATTATATCTCTCCCAAAAGCAATGACTCCTCTTTTCCTTCTAGGAAAAAAGATAGTAATATCACATTTTACATGTTGTGGAGGTGATCCATGTATGTCCAGCTGCCTCCCCCAGACAGAACGCCAGACCCAGTGGGGTGTATTCAGTCCCAGCAACCTCCAACCACCAGAGAGAAGAGCCAGCACTACAAGGTCCGATGGGAGAAGACGAGGTATCTGGTTTTTTGGATCAGCTGCTGATAATACGACCCCATAGCACCTTTAATTTCCTGGTTCATATATGTCAGCACACCCAAGCCACAGAGCACACTGGTTTGGTCATTTTACAATTTGTAAAGCCGCCTCCTGGTCAAGTCATGACACTTCATAAGACTTGCTCTAGGAATCCTTCATTCAGTCCCGATACTAACCAATCTCCAGATAGACTTTTTTTTTTTTTTCCCCTGAAGCACTTAACTGCCTGAATTCCCCAGAGAATGAAAGGCAGAACTGTATTCAAGGACATACTCAAGCGCTGTGGTATTACACGTAGCTGACGCTGAGATGTCAGTCTTCCATAATCTCATTTCAGATCCAGTCATTTAACAGGGCTGACACTCCGGACCGCTCAACAGGGCAAAATGAAGGTAAGAAAGGAAAAAAGCCAGATCAGTTTTTGTTCATCTGAGTCTGTCTTTGCTCCACGCGAGCAGCCGGGCATCCTGCATCCCCTTAAAGGTTTACTGCAGCTTGCCAAAAATGTGCTCTTCCAAACAGCCACATTCTCTGAATTCTGGGCATCAAAGAAACGCCGCCTCATCCGCAGCCTTATCTTGAGCTGAGCCAAAGCACATGTCAGACTCTGCCATCTCTGGGCTGGCTTGGCAGTGTCAGGCAAGCAAGTGTGACACACCGCCATGAAAAATGCCCACTCTCCTCCACAATAACAAGTCTGACAGATGAGATTAGGCTTATTACAAAGAGATCACTAAATGGCTCCTTGACGTAGAAGAGGGTCGTGTACGGGCTCTCTTTTGGGGGAAAGAAATCATGGGTTTTACAATGAACGAGGTAACTTCAAGAAATAAAATTTTGAATAAATCCTAGTCTGCAAAGTCAGTCTCTGCACAATGCCACAAAACGCCCATTTAATCATCTGGATTAAACTATTACATTTTACAGTATCGGTCACTATTCAAGGAACAATACGTGCTTGTGCAGGTCGTAAGTATCACCTGCAAGAGCCATAAATAACATTTAAAATGACCTTGACTACTCAACTAACCAGAAACACTATACAATATAAGCATACTGAATGAAATTTGGGTTCACTGAAGTCAATCGTACATGACCAGGATTTCACATATTGTTCTTATTTAAGTACAGTTGTTTTGCAATGCTTATTCCAAGTAAACTTGGATTGTAAATACGCAGCAGTGCCAAAAACAGTTGAGCCGCATTGCTATCCAGATACTTACAGATACGTCATACCGGGTGCAATCTGGTACGTTATACAACCTATTAATTAGTTCCACAACATCTTTCGTACATTACTCAGTCTGGCTCTCTTTCCCAAATTTCTGGTTTTCTAGTTGCTAGTTTCTAATTGCCACATCAGGAAATACTATACACGGGTCAAGAACCGTTAGCGGGATTCCTGGTGCTTGGCAATGCCTTGAGTCCTGTAACGTTGTTAAGTGTGTGTCTATTGAAATCTCTGAAAGCAGAAAAATTCAGTGTTAATAGCAGCCCTGAAACTTTACCTCTTCCCACTGGGGCTGGCACGACTCTTCAGAAAATACGATAGTTATCAGAGGCGGAGCCAACACTGTCTGGTAAAGAGGAATAAACAGCTGTGTCACTCGACGCAGAGTGCTGTGCCCCAGCAACCTCTATCCTTCCACCCACCTGCACGTCCTCCAGCTGCCTTGCACCACGTTACCGACAGCTGCATTGACTGGTGCAAGCGTGGTTTGCACCAAGCTGCCGTACCTCCTACATTACCGATGGGGAGAGGTGTGTCTACAACTAGGGGGTCCCCGGTCCACAGCGAGCTGTGGGGAACGTGCAGGTAAAGGAGGACACGGGTCCCTTGGGAGTCTGCAGCAGTAGTGTAACAATACGGAAGAGAAGCAACACAACTGCAGGTGGCATCATAGGGACATCATGGGACTTGGGGCTGCTGTAGTTACACCTGGCAGGTCTGGAGTGAGCTGTGTGATACAAGCATGTACATGGCTGTGTATGGTATGGACCTGCCTCCAGAGCATAACGCAAACTTGTCCTAAAAGCAGCTTTTGCCTTGCAGCATCTCCAGGGCTCCATAGCATATGGAAGAAACTGCTGAATTATATTAGAACAACTGGCTGTCGTACATCTAGGGAGCTGTTGTTCTTGTACAGAGCTGTCCTTCCAAAACATCTTCCTGCCTGTTTCCTGCTGGTTACATGCATGGATTATATATATATACACACACGCAACAATAATGATAATTTTTGACCTTTAAAGTACAAATATCTGAAATAAAACCATTCACATGTAACGATAGAGGCTTACCTACATCCCTGTCCCTGATACAGTAGTCTGGAGAGCTTTCAAAGTAAACCAGGTCATTCTTAGTTGGCTTCTTAAATCTCTTATTAGCCACAGTGAAACCCGTGCCATCTTGATTCATGACCACCTGAATCGCTCCATTGTATTTCTTCCACAGATAATCTCCTGTTTTCCTAAAGTCTGCCATGGCCAGCCAACAGGTCCTTAGAGTGCATGATCCACTCACACCGTGACATTTGCACTCCTGTTTCAAAAACCGCTTCACGGCCTGTTTAGAAACGCAGTAAAATATACACAGGTAAAACAAACTGTAATTTATGCTTCTCAGCCCTTTTCCATTCATCCTGTAATGCCAGGCTTGCAATGGGTCTCCAAATCACGGTCTGTAGTGACACCCACTGGTAGCATCAAGTCATCCCCACATGGTTGGTCTGCTCTGGTTGCTTGACTCAACCGTACACACAACCCTCTGGCTGGTGGGCTTACCTCTCCCGCTCCTGCCAGTCATCCCGAGGACCGGGATGGTCCATAACGCTAGGACACAGACTGGACAGTAGGAAACCATCTGGAAAATGGACAGAATCACTCAACCCCTTTCCCCATCATTCCAGCTCAAGCATCGCCAGGCTGACCCTCTCTAGCTCGCCTTCGCCAAGTTGCCCTTTGCCCTGAACAGTGTTTCAAATACTGCCTAGACATACATAGGCTTTTCCTGTTTAAATGCTTTTGCAGAGACTGTGCAAAGCATCATACCTGGGCTAGGCATCTGGTCTACACAAAATTTTAAAATATGGTATTTTTAAAGTGCTCATAAACCTTTTAACAAACATTTTAGAATAAGACCTTCATTAGCTTGCACTGAAGAGACCATCTTCACCATTAATTTAATGTCTGGGTAGCATTAAAGCCATTTCAGCTTCATCTCAGACATTTAAGCTATCTGTATGATGTTGGAGAACAACAGATGGGTTCATATACAATAAATAATTTATTCCTAATTCTGAAGATACAGATATTTGGTCTATAAATATTATGCCTTAAGGGTTCATGAAATATGAACATTTTAGAGTTTGTACAAGAGGAACAGCATCATGGGGGGAAGGTAAGAGAGAGAAAAGCTCCATGACTAGGAGTGAGACCGATGCACAGTGGGGTGGCATTTTTCAGTCAAGCACTTAGTAATAAAGTGAGAATAAATGTGTTATAAACCCAAAGTACTTCTAATTTTCTTTCTTTCCAACTTGTAAACTATTTGACTACTTCAAAGAAGTCACTGGCATTCCCAACAGCCCCATTTTGTTGCCAGTGGTACTATCACAAAACTGGGATTCTGCTCAGAAAGGGATTTAAGCAGATGCTTGGTTTTAATTATCTGAGTAGGAAGAAGTTAACCTACTCGCACATTTAAAACAACTTGCTGGACTGAGCCGTGAAATAGCAGAAGCAGCACATAAGGATGCAGGACTTTTTTTTTGGTCAGTGACAATGTATATTATTTTGTATGATTCCTATGGGATTATTATAAATATTTATTCAATGTATTTATAAATTAGTAAAAATTGATAGTCTAGTTTTAAAAGAAACCTATCAACACAGGCCTCCCCTTTTGAGGATGAGAAAAAGCCAAGGGCACAGCTGGTCTTCCCCAGATCCGAATGCCAGGCTTGTGGGTGGGCTGAGGTAGTGAGATCCCTGCAAAGCTAAACCTGCTTTGTGGGTACAAACCAGCATCCCTTTCTATAAAGCAGGTCCTAAAGCATATGAGAATGTGTTGATTATTTTTAACTAAACACATTTATTACAGTCTCTTTATCATTTTTTTCTAAAAAAAAACCCCAAACAACCCAAACAACTGCCTGCTTACCAGTACTCTGTTATTATTTGGCATATATATTTGTTTAAACTTACTAAGTTACTCAACTATTTCAGAAAGTACTTCCCAGCATGGGGCTAATGCACCCAATAAAGTCCTTGCTTATGTTGTAGACTGCAGTCTCTTTTGAACAGTAACATAAATACAGCCATAGCACTGATCTGAATAGCCTCATCTATCTATATTACATAGTAATTACACCTGCTGGTTGTAAACAGGTGGAGGAAAGATGTTGATGGAGAAATATTTATCAGGAAAATCATCTACTTGCAGTACAATTCATTAAAATTGGATCTTTTCTTCTAATAAGGGCTAGTTAATATAGAACAATTTTACAGTTTATAAAGGGAACTTTTTAATACAAAAAGATCAGAATATGAACCATTTACTTCCTACTGAATGTATATTAAGGAAAACCAAAGACAAGAAACAAGAAGTCTCTAAGATTAATTTTAGAAGTGCTTGATCTAGCACTAGAAAATACTTTTCTGTGTTATTCAGATGGTTTGGATGCAGCAAATTTTTAGTATGTTTTGGATAATGAATCGGCACATTCCAGTTTCATGCACTATTCTTACTATTTATAACTACCACCACAAAATGTTAGTGCGTGTTTTCCTCAGCCCTTGCACCAGCAGCGGGCAATATGTCCGGCAACTACTCCTTCTACTCACCTACAATAAAAAAGTAAAGACTCTTCTTGTTGAAATTCAATGTTATGGAGAAGGGTTTTGTTTAGAGCAGATCATGCCCCAAGGCCAATGCCTTTTGGAAGAACATGTATTTTGGATTTATTTTCTTAAAACGTGAAATAATTGTATTTTATGTCTGCTCATTTTGTGTTTAGGTTTACCATATACATACAGGAGCGGACAGCATGGTGGGTTTTTTCCTCCAAAGCTATTTGGAATTTGCTCTTTAATAGTCAAGCCTGTTTTTCCGTATGGTCTTCAGCCTCCCTTAGGAATTTCCGTTCTTTATTAACCAAAACTCCTCCATATATAAGGATTAGGCTCAAAACAAAACCTCCGTCCAAACAGGTCCTGCAACAACTTGGGCTCGTGCTTAACTTCCCACACGAGGAGCCCCTGAGCTGACTCAGACGGGAGCACTGTCAAGCAGTTGCGCTCAGTCTGGAGGTCTCTGCCACGCTGAACCTCCAAGGGAGACAGAAACAGCATCTCAGTCTCCTGCTCATCCCAAACCGCTTCCTAACCGCCGAAACCAGTCAGAATGGCCAACCGATACGTGCCCCAGACCTGCGAGAACTCACTGAGAGCATCTCCAGGCATTTGGGGGACGGACACCCACCTTCCTTCCAGCTCTGTTGTTGTGAAGGTTCATCAGTGCTCTTGCATCTTTTCCTTTCCGTTCTTTGGCATCCACGAAGGCTCTGGCAAATTTAACGCCGTAGTCGATGTTATCGCTGCAGCCACCCCAGTCAAAATGGCCCTTGCTGTCCTTGGCAGAGCCTTTCTTCTTGGGGTCGCAGGAGCAGGATTTCAACTCCCCTTGGCTACATGCCCTGGTGATGGCAAAAACAACTCCAGCGGAGGAGATGGCATGTACAAAAGCAGATTCCCGACTACCTGAAACAAAAAAAGACGCTTTAAAAATCGTTGGGGTAGTTAGTTTGAGTGGCTATCCTAACTCCAGCCAGTTAGCCTGGACTTTTTTGCTGAGCAAAAGATAAAAACTGGGCTGAAATCTTCACAAATGCACATTCCCTGGAGCCAGAATTAGTCATGGCTTAAACTTGGACCCCTCCCTGGTAAAAACTCATCAATATAGTGTTAGAGTTGGAAAATATTAAACATTTGCTTCTGATATTGATTAATATACTTTCACAGATTAGATATTTTGTAGAGATAAGTGAATAGGACAGCTGGTATTTCTATCATGTTTCATTGGTTTAGAATAATATATGAAGTGCTATTTCAGAGATAGATTTAAGAAATTATTAAATAGGGACACTGGAACAACACAGACATTGCAAAATATTGCAAATAACTCTTGAAACTAGCTTTTCCTCTTCCAAAGCACTTGGAATAGACTTTCCTGCTTAAAAGGCGGTAGGGAGAAATCTTGGGTGTTATTTTCTGAAAATAAATTAAATTTTCTGCCCAGAACCAAGCCCGGTAACCGTAATTCACACAAACAAGTTCCATGAAATCAATGGCACTGCTTGTGTCATGCTTGAGGCAGGATTTGGCCTGGCAGCTGCGACTTCCACACGCCAGCTGCTCGGGCAGTTTTCCCTACTCTTAGCGAAGATACTTTGTTGTACCAAAGATAATCGGCAATTTCTAGTCTATGCCTACTCTGAAGCTATTGGGTATGAATTTTGATATAGTAATTGCTTACATTTATTTTAAGAGGTAGTAATTTACAATACAGAGCTGTCATATGTTGGCACAACTCTATTTATGATAATGGAATATTTCAATATTTTTAAAGGTTTTTAGCATGGAGAGAGTGAGAAGTAGATTTTTGTGCAGTATCTAAGTCCGCTAGCAGTCAGAAAGACCTGTCTGAAGAACATGAAACCTTAAGTAATGTTAGCACAGTAAAGTAGGACCCTAAAGAGAGAATGTTACCTGTGATTTTATTGTAGGGGCAGCACTACACTATGTAACTTATTATTTAGTATTTCTAAATTCTCTCCCATGAGCCAACAGTGAAAACTTCACTCTTGGAAAAAATGCATTTTTACTTTTTTATGAAATAGCCTCATCAGAATTAGGCCATGTTCTGCCAGACGTGTTTTCCTGAGTGTCAGACAAACCTCACTGAAAACTTCAGCTGATGGGTGATGTTACTGGTTACTCACAAATAATTGCTAAGGGAACATGAAGCTGGTTCCGGGAACCATTTACCAGCAGTGGAGCCTGGCACCGAATGATGCTCCGTGGATGAAATCCCACTGCTTGGGTCAGCGTGCCCAGTGGCTCCTATCCTCCTCCCCATACCCACCACTGGGGCAATGGCCCCGGGGTACTTTCCTCCTCCTCCTCCTCCTCTCCCCGCAGGTGCCACGCTGCTCACAGCCTGGAGAGGCTCTCGAACGGTGCCGGGGACATCCCAGGGACACCAGTCCCAGGGTAAGGCCAGCCCCACCAGCTGTGTGCCAGGGCTCTGTGCCCAGGTGTGGCGTTTGGTGAAAAGAGCTACAGTTTAGAAGAATCTCAACACGTTTAGCACTTGGATAGGGACATCCTGGCTCGGTAACAGATCTCAGCCCTTTCTTTGCATCAAAAGGACAATACAAGCTCTCTGAAGACTCACCAGATGCCTTAGTCCAACATTTAGATGACACTACCACCTTACTTAACCATCCTCCCTCAGGGTGGGAAGCACATTGTAGTCCTCAGCTGCCCAGGGTCTGCACAGGCCTGGCTCACCCCTATCCGATGCGTCCCCACTTCTCTCTCCGCTGGAGCCCGACCTGAGGGACCAGCTGTCACACCCCCCGCAGAGGGGGGCTATGGGCCTGGAGGGCAGCGCTGCCCCGGCGCTGGCACAGACCCCACACCTCACCCCACACTTCGCAAGCAGCACAGCCCAGGTGGGACTGCACCCTGTTGCTGCGCTTCCCCGGGGAAACGCTCCAGCGGGATCCGGCCTGTCCTCTGCCACCCCAGGGCACTGGGATCCTCTTTGGCCGTGGGCTGCCCCTTTCAGGCCCCCCAGGGTACTGGTCTCCCTAGACAGGGTGGGCTGTGCTGGAAAGCCCTCTGCCCAACTGCTGCATGCTGGCACCTCGGTTTCTCTGTAGCCCTTACTTTGGGGGTCCATTACACAATGAAAAACTGAAAAGTTGGGAACTGCAGGGCCAGTCCCTACCACGCCAAACCCCTTTTCTGAACCTTGCCCATGTCTTTCTGCTCTGATACAGGTTTTTAAGCAAAATAGCACTTCTCGTTATGGTATGTGCTCTTCTGCTGACTATGAGACCCTAAGATAATTTCGTGTTTCCCCTTCCCTTCGTCGTGAAACGTAAAACGAAGCTTCACCATTGCTAGGAACACGGGTACGAGGAGGAGGAGGAGGAGGAGGAGGGCGGCCTCCGCTTACCGTCGCACTCCCAGTGTTGGTGCCAGCCGAGCGCTGACCGTCCCCCCCTAAAACCTCTTTTACCCTCAGCCCGAAGGCGCCGGCAGCTGCGCGGAGGT